CTGAAAATCCCATTTTTGAGGCACCGTGTTACAAAAAACGTAGTTCAAGGTAAAAATGTGCTAAAAAAAATTGTTTTGGGGGCAAATTGCAAAATGGGTTATAGTTTAGGGTGTAAACTGCTTTTTACTCTTATTATTATAAAAAGTTAAAACTTGTACAAATAAAAAGTTAAAACTAATTTCAGGAGACAAGGTATTATTCGTAATTTACCGTAAAAATGAAACTTTATTTTTTATATTTTAATTTCAGTTTCAAAACTTTGAAACCGCAATAAAAGGCGGGATTTTTCCGAAAAAAATGTTGCTTTGAATTTCGGTCATTTCATGCTATACACACTGTTCACCGGATTCTGTGTATAGCAGAATCTGTTGACTCGAGGCAATCAGTCCCCTTTTCTATATTTCAAAACCCTCCCCCCATTCCACTTCTCTAATTACTTCTTTTTTGCCCCCACTCAACCACCGCCCCGCCGCCCCTCCGCCACTCAAACTCAGTGATGAAGCTGGAACGAGTTGAACTATTGGCGCACACTCCCCTCACACCGCACACCTCCGCTACCAACTTTACTTCACCTGCCAGACTATTGACCAACATTTCAGATCTGCAAAATTACCAAAAAAGAAAACCGGTAAGAAAAGAAGCAATTTTCTCTTCCTCTTCCTCCATCTTCATTTTTTTTTTTTACTGTTTTTTTTTTTTTTTTTTAAATTCAAGTTTATGCGTTGAAATAGAAATGATTTTGAGATTTTGATTGGCCTCGGTTAGTTAGAATGTTTCGGATTTTAGATTCTGTTTTATGTGTTTTTAAATCATTTCCTATTCATAAATTAAATTAATTGAAGTTCATTTCGATTCTACATATTTAATTTTAGATTTGAGTTGTGTTTATTTATGTAATACTTCTGCTATTTTTTATTATTTTTGTTTCTCCAATTAAATCACAGAGGACGGCAAATTTCTCTCGTGAAGAAGATGTTTGTATCGTCTCGGCATGGTTAAGTACAAGTAAATCTTCTGGATTTTGGCAGAGGATTCATGATAAATTCATAATTGAATTTGGTCAAGGAGGACGTACGGAATTCAGCCTAACTAGTCGTTGGGGAGTTATTAATGCCCAATGCGCGAAGTTCATTACCTATCTTAATCAAATCAACAACGAGCATCGATCCGATCAAACGACTCATGACAGTGTAAATATTTGCATTAATGGTTTTATCTTTATTTATTTATTATTATTTTTTAATTTTATCTATATTCGAATTAGTGTTTTTACGTTCAAACATTTTGTGTGATAGGTGGAAAGAGCAGGAGCATTGTATGCCGCCGACAATAGTAGACAACAATTTAAATTTGAGCATTGTTTCGATCTTCTAAAGTATGAGAAGAAATGGCTCGACACTGTGGAAAAAAATATGCAAAGAAATAAATCTTTTGTCTACAATGGTGTTCAAATCTCTTCAGAAGAAAATAGCGAACCTTCTTCTAATAAAGACCAAACCGAAGGTAAAAAAACGTCAAGAAGACAACCTAAGAGGAAACAGAGAAGTCCATGTATAATGTCTCTCACACACGAGCGTTGGAAAATAAAGATGGCAATTGAGCGCGTAAGATTTGCGCAGGAACGTAAGAGACTCATAGTAGCATATGAAAATGCGATTGCTAGACGCGACTTGAAAAACGCAGACGCAGTTTTGATAAGGAGTGTAGAGAGATGGATATTTTGTACATCTGTGTACTAGTCGTATGGAGAAGCGTCATACATCTTATTGGACTATGAAAATAATCGAAATTTTGAAAA